TCTGAGCTAATGGAGGTGGTGAGCAAGTTTGAGCAAATTTAAGTATGCAAATAACACAAAATGTCAAATCCAGCCCAGAGTGAAAATCTGCTCACCCTCCTGCTTTAAGGAGTCTGAGTGAAATGAACTCAGTTGCAACCTTGTTTAAAGTGAACATTGAACAACAGTATGAGACTTCCAGATACTGGTAATTTCACTCAAGAAATTATCAGATTTCGCTTTTGGCTGCAAGATAGAAATGACACTGCAGTGATCTGTACTCTTTAGCACTTCAGGCTGAATTTCCAGGTTGGAATCCCAGACCAGTGTGTGATACCATTTTCAAGAAACATAGAAACATGGAAGATAGGAGCAGGAGCAGGCCAATAAGCCCTTCATGCCTGCTCCACCATTCAATATGATCAGGGCTGATTATTCAACTCCGTACCCTGTTCCTGCTTTCTCCCCATACTGTCCCATCCCTTTCACTATTACTGCTAAGAAGATGGTCAATCAGTGGCCAGATGGCACATTCACCATCTAAGTAATGATGGGAAGTGGGCTCCCGAGGCTGGAAGGAATTAAGATAGAAGGATTTAAGTTAGAGGCTCCCAAGGAAACTGAAATTCAGAATATTGGAATGGGGTACAAAGAACCCCTACTCATTCAGTGGCACACGGACTGGTGACTCAGGAGGTTATGTGTTTTAAGTGCGCACCAGTTCACTGTCCATGTGGCTCACCCAAATGCTGAGGTACCAAGAGCTGACAGCCCCTCTGATGCCTCCCGGAATAAAAGATTTATCCATCTAGACGCAACTGTGGGCAAATTGAGGAGTAAACTTGTATAGTTGTTGAGAGAAATTAAGACAAATTTTTGCATTTATATACAGCCTTTCACAATCACAGGATGCACCAAAGCATTTTACAACCAAGATTATCAAATGCAGTCATTGCGTTGGTGTGAGAATCACAGCAGCAAGCTGTGACAGACTTGAATGCGTTAATGACTAGATTATATAGTTCTCTTATGTTGGATGAGGGACGAACATTGGCACAAACACTGGACTAACTCACCTTGCCTGTTTTGAATTAGTGTTATGGAGTCTTTCGCACCCTCTTGAGTAAGCAGATTGGGTCTGGTTTAGCATTTCATCTGAAAGACATGACCTCTGACTGTGTGACACTGCCCAGGTACTGCCGGGGAGTGTCAGCCTGGATTGTTCCACTCAAGTGGCTGGAGTGGGATTTGAACTCACAGCTTTCTGAATCAGAAATGGTAGTGTTACCAAGTGAGCCATGGCTGACAAAAAGTTAGGTTTGCTTTTCATTTTCTATGAACACTGCGAAGTGAAGATTGAAAATAAAAGGGTTGGATTGGGCAGAGTGAGCTGGAAGACAGGTGAGATCTATAATTGCAACCAACTGACAAGCCCATCAGGGCCCATGGCTTTTGGGTGCAGACTGAACTCTCCTGCCACCATGATGTTCCACTCCCATCTGTTAACCAGCCTAGTTTGGATGCAGGAGACATTGGGACCATATAGGCAAAGACCGGGAGTGAATATTATTGGGGCCTCACATCAACAATCTCGGGTTTACAGATCCTTTCGTTCCCCCTGCTCTGACCCACAACCAACAATGGAGCACTTGCGATGCAGATGCTGTCGAATGTGACAAATCACAACAAAATCTTATTCAGATTGTTAAGACGCTGAGATAAAAGTGAAGCATTGAAGCAGGGAATCAATACATTTCCACAGACTTTGCCCCCTTTTCTTACATTTTTATTAAACTCATCATAAAACAAAACAGTACAGAAGGAGGCCATTCAGTTCCTTTTCCCCGTATCACGCTTTTAAAAGAGCTATCAAATCAGTGCCAGTCCTAGTCAAAAACCAAAACAGCTGGAGAAACTCAGCAGGTCTGGCAGCATCTGGAGTAAACAGAGTTAACATTTTGAGTTTGATGACTCTTCATCGAGCCCTAGGTCTCTCCTTTTCTTACCAAAGTACATAACCTCACATTATCCCACAAAAAAAAACTTAGCATTATCTGACATCCCACAAAAAACTTAGCATATGGAAAATAAGGTGGGAAAATGTGAGGTTATGCACTTTGGCAGGAAGAATAGAGAAGTTGAATATTAATTAAGTGGAGAAAGACTATAGAAAGGGCACAGAGAGCTTTGGAAGCTCTCATGCAGATATCACAAAAAGCCAACATCAACAATCAGCAGCTAACAGAGAAGGCAAATGGAATCTCAGCCTTTATTTCAAAGTGAATGGAGTATAAAAGTAGAGACTTCTTGCTAAAACCAAAAAAAAAGCACTAGTTAGATCATACCTGGAATAATCTGAACAGTTTTGGTCCTCTTATCTGAGGAAAGATTCACTGACATTGAAGGAAGTCCAGAGAAGGTTCACTAGGCTGAACCTGGGTATGGGCGGTTTGTTATGAGGAGAGGTTGAGTACCTTGGGCCTGTATGGATTGGAGTTTAGAAGAATGAGAAGCAATCTCATTGAAACACACAAGATTCTTAGGGGGCTCGGCAAGGTAGCTACAATAAGGGTGTTTCCCCTTGTGGGAGAATCTAGGGCTAGAGGGTGTAAGCTCAAAGTAAGGGCTCACCCATTTAAAACAGAAATGAGGAGGAATTTCTTTTCTCAGAGGGTAGTGAACCTGTGATTTTTTTTAAACTGCAGAGGACTGTTGAGGTTGGATCATTAAGCATATGTAAAGCTGGGATATACAGATTTTCGATCAGTAACGGAATCAGGGTTATGGGGGAAGGCAGTAAAGTGGAATTGAGAATGATCAGATCAGCCATAATTGCATTGAATGGCAGAAGAGACTTAATGGGCTGAATAATCAACTTCGGCTACTATATCTGATTATCTTACAGTCTACTCTTTTCTCTTCAAATATTTATTCAATTCCCTTTATAAAGTACTATGGAGTAATGAGGTTGGTTGGCTCGCCGAGCTGGTTTGTTGTTCCGCAGACATTTCGTTACCGTGCTGGATAACATCCTCAGTGCAGCATCTGATGAAGCGTCGTTGTGTTTTCCCGCCTGGTTTTTAAACTCTGGGGTCTGTTGTTAAATAGTGTTCGCACGCAGCTTCGTTTGTGTGTGCTGGGATGGTTACTGTTGAAGTTCAATACCTGGTCTGTGTGTGTGGCTTTTCAGTGTATTTTCGTTTGTAGTTCCCCATTTGTCTTGCGCTCTACTATGATGTCCAGGAATGGGAGTTGTTTGTTCTTCTCCTCCTCTCTGGTGAAGTTTATTCCGGTGAGGGTGTTGTTTATGAGTTTGTGTGTCTCTTCTAATTTGGTCCGTTTAATGATGACAAAAGGTGTCGTCTACATAGCATATCCATAGTTTAGGTTGGATTTGCAGAAGGGCAGTCCTTTCCAGTCTTTGCATCACTGCTTCTGCTATGAGTCCGGAGATAGGCGATCCCATGGGTGTCCCATTGATTTGCTTGTATGTTTGGCCGTTGAAGGTGAAGTGGGTGGTCAGGCATAGGTCCAGTAGTTTAAGCATGTTGTCCTTGGAGATGGTTTCACTGGGGTCGTGTTCTTGTTCAAGTAGTGTTGTCATTGTTTCCCTTGCTAGTGGTATGTCTATTGACATGAATAGGGCGGTGACATCAAATGATATCGTGCGAACGCTATTTAAAAGGGCAACAACACACTGCAGCAACATGGAACTACGCCAAGAGGAGGAGGAATACTTCTTCCAAGTGTTCAAGGATAATGGATATCCAAAGAACTGGGTCAGGAGATGCCTACAGGAACAGCATCAGAAAGATTCTACACGCCCCGACACACTCATCACACTACCCTACATCAGGAACATGTCAGAACTCACCACAAGACTTCTATGACTTCTGGGCATCAGAGTGGCACACAAACCCACATCAACCCTACGACAAGTGCTCACCCGAACTAAAGACACACTCCCCGCCATGGACAGGACCAATGTCATCTACAAGATCCACTGCAGATACTGCAAGAAACACTACATCGGACAAACAGGAAGGAAACTAACAACAAAAGTACATGAACACCAACTGGCTACAAAAAGACACGACCAATACTCACCCATCTCAATCCACATGGACAAGGAGAACCACGACTTCGACTGGGACAACATCAAGATCCTGGGACAGGCTAGACAGAGACAAGCACGAGAATTCCTGGAAGCATGGCACTCCACGAAGCATGCTATTAATAAACACATTGAACTCGACCCCATATACATTTCACTACGGAGGAAACCCGGAAGTGAGGCAATCCATCACAACAGACCCCAGAGTTTAAAAACCAGGCGGGAAAACACACCGACGCTTCATCAGACGCTGCACTGAGGATGTTACCAAGCATAGTAACAAAACGTCTGCGGAACAACAAACCAGCTCGGCGAGCCAACCAACCTCAACACCCACAATCCGAGCTACAAAGCTACTCCAAAACCTTACTATGGAGTAAATTTTCACTGCCCTTTAAGGCAATCCATTCCAGATCACAATAACTTGATATTGTTATCTTATTCAAAGAAGGGGGGTGATTTTAACCTATCCCATTGGCTGCAATACAAGTGAGCATTAATTGGATATTAACGATATTTAGTTGTAGCAGGTGGTGGATATTAACTTGGGTTATTGGTTTAGGAGGTGTGTGCTTGTAATGTGTAATACTGCAAATAAATGTTTATATTAAGATGTATAAAGATCAGCTCAATTTCTACCCTTCACCAACTGACTTTCTGGAATAAAACAATGAATATGGACTAGATGTGCATTTTATTGTCACAACTTGGTTACTGATTTAAAATTTCTCCACTGCCCATCAGGTTGGTCTGATTTCACTCCATAAATTTGCATTAAGTCAATAAAAAATGAAACAAAGACATACTATAAAGTCTTCAGAAGAGCAACATTCCTTTTCACAACTAGAACTGGGCTGGATCCTTCATGTAAAGAGGGAGCACTGAGACAAAACATCAGGAAACTTACCAGTACTTTGATTGACAATTCTTTCTATATCAAGCTGCTATCACATAACCAGGTCCTGGGATATTCATTATATATTGAGCTTCCAGGCATGATATTCCTATTAAAAGCTAGAAAACAAGAAAATAAAATTGTTCAATTTAGCATATCATTATAAGTGATTATGAGCCTTGAAAATTTTATTTGAATATTAACATGGAAACACATTACTTTCTCCATAGCACCATTTTATCAGTTTCACCAAGATCTTAGATGCAGAAATATTATTTGACCATATTCAGTACTGGCATCATAATATCAGCAACATTTTTAGGCTTACATATTTTTCAATAGTTTCTCTTCCACAAGTTTGATCCACGTGAATTGCCACAAATACATTTGAAAAGCAACAAAATATGGGATATGAGGAAAACTGTCCATTAAATGTCCTTTAACAGAATAAAATACAGTTTTTTTTTAACTCCAGAATTTGCTTCGGGTTTATAAGCTTGTTGCTTTCACATTGCAGTTTTCTGCTTTGAGGTTGATCCAACATGCAATAACAATGTTGTGTAAGAGCTTAGAACACTGAAACAATCTGGCAATGGTGTCACAGACCTGCACATCACTGGGTATAAATGCTACTGTGTAAGCAGAGTTAGGACTCTGAAAAACACCACACCAGAGCACCTTACCTTTTGGAAGAAACACTGAGAAGGTATGGTCTTGAACACATAATACAGATAGCTTAGTTATTCTTGAATATAGCTGTAAGTCAGAGCCTGGTATATCTAGGTTTGCCATGTATTGCAAATGAATGTTTAATAAATTGTATTATTTTGAAAGTCTAAGGCTGAAAACAATTCTTCTCTTGACTTCTCCTTAACTAACCTGTAAAGAATGCATACTCATAGTGAGACCTAAAGCCATATGATAAAAGAGCTACAACACTCAAGGAGACAAGTCCCGAATCTACCCTGTTCTGTTTGTACCAATGTGATCCACACTGGCCATCTAGCCAACTGACATCCCGCTTTGAACAGCACAAGGGTGCCTGAGTTGCTGTGGAAATATCTACCTTTACATTCATGTTGTAAACTGGAGTTATGGATAGTGATGGTAGGAGCTACGGATAGTAATGGTAGGGGCTCTGATTTCTTATCCACTACATAGCTAACCAGAAATCCCTCTGCTCTTAATACCCGATATGTTAGGAAGATTTACAATTGATACTCAAACTGTTTGGTCATGTTACCAACACATCAGGTCCTGGAATAGAACTTAAACCTACAGCTTCTGGTTCAGAGTCAGGATCATTCCCCACTGAGCTACAAGACCTCCAGACAGACATTTACTGACCATTTATTCAGTTGAAAAGCTAGGAAATCATGGGAAGCACAAACTCTACTTCTTGACATGGGACAGACTGGGATCTGTACCAGGAACTAATCTGCAATTAAGCAGTTTTGGGTTCGTTTTCAGCACTTTTGTTTTTTACATTAGCATTAAATTCACAAAGGACAGACCCACATCTAGAACCCCCTGTAGTCTTGAGTCAGCTGGGGCCTTGAATCCACACTCAGGCTGCATTAACATTACAACCGCAGTGTTGATGTGAAGCAAAATTGCAGAATAATAACACTCAATGGGGCAGAGATTCCTCTGGAGTTATTCATTGAATGTGCCAACCATCAATAACGTGTTGGGAACAGACGAACAAGACTAAAAACTGCCCAAAGAAGCTGATACCATACTTTTTTCATTTTGAGATGGTAAAAAAATACTAAGTAAGGTGATAGTTCAAGGAAACCCTTCAGATGAACAGAGTATCTTCTTTGGTAAGTCTGAAGAAACAGAAACATTTCCCACCCTCCTGTTACACATTTTTTCTCTCTTAGTGTTGGATTCCCTTTTAGGACATTCCTACACACTTGATACAAATGCAATATGCCAACTTCTGCGAATAGCCACAGTTTATTTAAGCAAGTACAAGCTTTGGAGGATCACCTAACAATCTTCGCAAGGCTTGCGGAGCCGTGTCAAGTGATGCTCTCCAATAAGGGAACCATCCTCCCTTTATATAGGATTTTACATCACAGTCAGTCATGTATGCACGATACAATTTTTTACTCCCTCATAGTCACATGCCTAGCAACAGTGATCGTACATAACTTAATCACCTAACAGTAGAAGCAAAGGTCAGCAACCCAAAAACAATGTGTACGACTGGATAGTTCCTTATCTTTTTAGCCTTAGTTCAACATTTACAGAGAACAGAGTATAATTAGATTACCACATTTTGTCTGCGAGACAGAGGCGCCCACGGCGCAGCTTAGCACCTAATTTCTTACATGTCAGCAGAACAAATATTAACCCTTTAACATTTCATTAGGACCCAGTAGAACAACAAGTATGATATTATAACTTTGGAGTTTTACCTTCACTATATTCCCAGATACAGCCACATTTGTCACCTTTGTATGTAATCTTCAACATCTTACATTTGTAATTGTTCAGGCTAAATGAGCTACAATCACAATTCATGCAGACATATTGGAGATTTTTGGTCCAGTTACTCTGTACACTGATAATCAAAAGGGCTTTAATCTCAGAGTCTTTTTGCTGATGGGACTGGCACCTAATGGCCATCAAGTTAATGGTCCCAAAATCCCCCCGCCCCACTACCACTACCACAATTTTCCATTATTTGCAACCCATAGTTTCTCTTATTTCTATAATTTATATCCTTTTGATCTGAAGGGAAACACTCAATCAGTATTGTGATTTAAAAGAAAATAGGTTTTATAGATGCCACACTCTATACTATTGTTGTCTCAAACTTCAGAGATTAGTTAGTGATTGTTCCCACTGGACCCATAAGGAAAGCAAAGCACTTTTTAAGAGTATTTGCTGAATTTCCTGGACCGGTATTCAATCCCTAAAAATAACTTGTAGCAAAAATAGTCCAAGAACACTGTTGACGTGGACAACTTACATAAATTATATTTTGCATCATGTGCCCTCACATTGATTAAATGTCCCAGGGTGATAACAGTCCTAAGCGCATCTTGCAAATAATGCCTGTGGCATTCGACTGGGATTTATTATGAGAATTCTAACAGCAATGTTCCTTTTTGCCATGGTTCAAATGTCATTACCATCAGTAACTGCACGGTAAGAAGAGAACAGGCCATAGGGTGATTTTAACTCCCTGGTGGAAGTAAACAGCAATCCCAGTTGGAATATGGGGCAGATGTTAGATTTTAGTTGCGATTAGACACTTTACAACCTTCCAGCCTCAACTGAGGGCTCAACAATTTCATGTTAAAACTACTGCTTGACCTTTTTTTTGAGAGCAATTATTTGTATTTATTTCTCTGTTCTTTAAATCACTCACTTCATTAACCCTCACTTTTTTTTCTTCTTCCTTCCTGAACTCATTACTTGCATAAAGCATTTTTTAAAAAGAAATTCATTCTTGTGCTGTGTCTAGGTAGCATTTATTGCCCATCCCTAATTGCCAACAGGGCAGTTAATAATCAACTGCATTGCTGGGTCACAAACTATAATAGGCTAAAAGACATTAGCGAATCAGATGAACTTTTACAACATTCGACAATGGTTAAATGGACACCAATAGGCCAGTTTATTATTTCAGGCTGCATATTGCATTCATGTTTCACCATTTACCTGGTGTGAATTGAAACCCATGTCCTCACAACATTAGAGATCACAAGGCGTAGAGCTGGATGAACACATCAGGCCAAGCAGCATCAGAGGAGCAGGAAAGCTGGTGTTTCGAGCCTAGACCCTTCTTCAGAAATGGGGGAGGGGAAGGGGATTCTGAAATAAACAGGGAGAGAGGGGGAGGCAGATAGAAGATGGATAGAGGAGAAGATAGGTGGAGAGGAGGCAGACAGGTCAAAGAGGTGGTGATGGAGCCAGTAAAGGTGAGTGTAGGTGGGGAGGTAGGGAGGGGATAGGTCAGTCCAGGGAGGATGGACAGGTCAAGGGGGTGGGATGAGGTGAGGTAGGAGATGGGGGTGGGGCTTGAGGTGGGAGGAGGGGATAGGTGGGAGGAAGGGCAGGTTAGGGAGGCGGGGACGAGCTGGGCTGGTTTTGGGATGCAGTAGGGGGAGGGGAGATTTTGAAGCTTGTGAAGTCCACATTGATACCATCGGGCTGCAGGGTTCCCAAGCAAAATATGAGGTGCTGTTCCTGCAACCTTCGGGTGGCATCGTTGTGGCACTGCAGGAGGCCCAGGATGGACATGTCGTCTGAAGACTGGGAGGGGGAGTTGAAATGGTTTGCGACTGGGAGGTGCAGTTGTTTAGTGCGAACTGAGCGTAGGTGTTCCGCAAAGCGGTCCCCAAGCCTCTGCTTGGTTTCCCTGATGTAGAGGAGGCCACAACGGGAACAGCGGATGCAGTATACCACATTAGCAGATGTGCAGATGAACATCTCCTTGATGTGGAAAGTCTTCTTGGGGCCTGGGATGGGAGTGAGGGGGGAAGTTTAGCAGTCACAGAGCTCGGGGAGGACTTGGCTGCCCTGAAGGTGGTGCACTTGTGAGGCAGTAGTCGAGTGGAAATCCAACCACAAGACCCAGGACAGCTATAAAGGGGGGAGCCCTCTAACAGGTTAGTGAGCACAGTTGGGGTACTGAGCAGAGGAAGAGGCTCCACACAGGAATGGTGCTGCTGTTTAGTCGCCAGGACGCACCTGATGGCCACTGACTCTGAGAGGTTGGGTTACAGGAGGAAATCTGAATTATTTGTATCCAAACAGAACCTTACATTGGCTGAAGCAGTGTAGTTAGCTAGGTATGCTGAACTTCACAAATAAAACAGATCGATTGGATAGATAGAATAGATATAGATAGAGTGGATAGCTAGAGACTTTTTCCCAGGGCGGAAATGACTATTACGAGGGGGCATAATTTTAAGGTGATTGGAGGAAGGTATAGAGGAGATGTCAGAGGTAGGTTCTTTACACAGAGAGTGGTGGGCGTGTAGAATGCGCTGCCAGCAGTGATAGGGGAGTCAGATACTTTAGAGACTTTTAAGCAACTCTTGGATAGGCACATGGACAATAGTATAATGTAGGGTATGCAGGTTAGTTTGAT